CCCTCATATTTTCTACAACTTTTACATTTATTCTTATTGTAATTTTTATGTTCAATGCTTCATTCAAAAACTTAGATTCTATACCAGATTAAGTATAAAAATAATATTAAGAAATACCCGAAAGACTAATTAAAACACTTAAGCTAAACTAATGTCCTGTGGTAATAGGCAGTGTTCGGATTAGATAAGTACTTTTTTATCTAGATAAAGATAAAGATAATGCAACTCAAATGTATCTAGATGGATATGACAGATAACTTAACTCATATTTACCAAGATAAAGATAAAGATAAATACTTTTATCTAGAAAAAAGAAAAATACATTTATTTTTTAAATGGTTTTAAATTTAGGTATATTTTAGCTGGGCACTAGGAAAATAATAATGATAATAATGATTTAAATAAAAATAATTACATTATTTATCAAACTTTGTTTGAGAATCTGTATAAATATTTAAAAATATAAAATAATATCTTTTGTTCTATGAATATCAACAAAACTTTATTTGTTGGGTAAAAAACCTTTAAAAGCTCATATTATATTGTTACAATGGTATTTGAAAAATATTAAAAATCCTTATCCACAGTTTTTATTTATAAGCATTCAAAGTTCAAATCTTGAAAAATACCGAAAAATCACGAAAATTATCAAACTACATTGGTTGAGAATTCATAAAAATTTTTCTTTTTAAATCTAAGATTTGAAAATGTGGTACAACATTATTCATAAAATTATCTACCTTTATCAAAAAAAAAAAATCTCTACAAGCAAATAAAATTACATTTTTATGAGCGTTTGAAATTCATATTTTTACAAGATTCTATATTCACTCGATTTCTCATGATGAGATTTTGATATTTTACTGTGATTCAAAAACGAATAACTGTATATACATGAAAATTTACTGAATGTTTATATTTTTATTTTCTATACACCATAGAATTTTGAAAATATTTCGACTCTTTTTCAGCTGTTTGCGGACATTGTCAGTTTTCAATTTTTTTAGTTTTTTTTTCTATGAATATCAATAAAATTGTATTTGCTGGGTAAAATCCAATACAAGGCTCCTGGTATATTGTTACAATAGTACTTGAAAAATATTAAATATCCTGATCCACAGTTTTTATTTATAAGCATTCAAAGTTCAAATCTTGACAAAATACGGAAAAATCACGAAAATTAGCAAACTACTTTATTCCCAATAATATAATTAAATAATATATACTTAGTAATATCATAGAATGACTGACCCCCTTCGATCATAATCATTTTTCTTATACAATGATATTATATCATTGAATTCAAATATAACACAGTCCATCCATTACATTGGCCCACTTGTAATCTACTATAAACAGAGTGACACCCATACTTGCCACCTTTTTAATTTAATTTTATATAGTTTATATTGTTATGGATTAGTTTTCCACCTGTAGTAAGAATAAAAATATCATTAATAATATGTGATAAAAATCATATTAAGATCGTATGATAAAACTGTAGGAATCTGCATAACAGTATGGGTAGGTTAGGCTTAGGTACCTAAGTATATATTTTTTTCTATAAACAACTATAATTATTATAATGCCATGGAATACATTTTTAACCAGATAATAGATATATTATATTTTAAAACTAAACATATTTGTACAGAGATTGGAGATGATATCATATCTACGATTATACCGAATTTCAATTTTACACTTGGACATAAAGCGACAAGTAAAATATTATGTATTTTGTATTTTATATTATTATTTATTACTTATTAGTTTCTATTTTATTACAGTAATTATTTCATAATTATTAATATTTATTTTTCAGATTAAAATGTTTATGAATCAAATATCAGTTTGCAATTCAGACCAAATTTCGGCATTTGGATTCTTTGATATCAATTTAAATCTCGTTACATCTGTAAGTACTTATTCATTATTTTTTGATCACTAATGATATAATAAAAATTGTATATTTCTATTTCGTTTGATATATAATCGTTTTTTACCTACTTGAACCACTGTTTTTTAATCTCATTAGATATCTTAACGGAATATTTCCCGTAATAATATTATATTTTGACCTACACTATTGAGTTATGCAACTCTGATGGGCTCATTGATCTGATCATTAGATTCTAATGTGTTAATAATCAAAAATGACTGACAAATGTATTTTAGATTCTGAGTGAAACGATGAATGGATTGATTTTCCAATGATGTGAGTTTTTTTTTTTTTTGTGTCTGTTTTTTGTGTCGTTTTAGGACAGTAAAAGTGCTTGGATTTTCTTCAACAGTAGCTTTCTGATAGGAAAGTGAATCTAGTTGGTACTTTGGTGGGTAAAAAGTAAAAAGTAGTTTTCAAAAGCGCCGTGAAAAACAAAAGAAAAATTAAGGAAAAATGGGAATTTTTACGCAAAATCTGTTTTCGAGAAAATCGATTTTGGTTTTTGGTGCAACTCTTAAACACATGACCGTAGGTACATGAAATTTTGACTGAATGTTTATATTAGTATTTTCTATACACCATACAATTTTGAAAATATTTTGACTCTTTTTGAGCTGTTTATGGACATTTTCAGTTTCCAATTTTTTTAGTTTTTTATTCTATAAATATCAATAAAGTTTTATCTGTTGGGCCAAAAAGTGTAAAAACTTAATACAAGGCTCCTGATATATTGTTCCAATATCAGTTGAAAAATATTAAAAATATATATCCACAATTGTTTTTTATAAGCATTTAAAGATCGAATTTTGACAAAATTTATCAAATTTAAAATTGAATAATTATTTTTAGTTAAAAATGTATAAAATGTTCAACTTTTATATCTAAGGATTGAAAATGTATAACAAGATTCCACGTAAGTAGTTAATTCTGTCACCAAAAAATCTAAAAAATGCATAAGCACAGTTTATTTTTATAGTCATTTCAAGTTCAACTTTGGACAAAATTACATAAAAAAAAACCTAGAATAACTATTTTAGTTATTTTGTTGTGATTGTGTAATATTATTCGTGGGTACTTGAAACTTCTAAATTACACTATTATATATCTATGATAGTATCACGGTTTGTTATTGATGTATAACGTGTTATAAGCACCTAATGGATATTGTGATATGATTAATTTGGAATTTATTATAGGTATCTTTTATAGGTCAATTTTTTTTTAATGCCATAGATAAGTATAAAATATGTATTATACCTATACCGACATACCGTCTCTGCTCAGGATCGTTTTTCTTATACAATGATATTATATCATTGAACTCAAATTTAATACTATCCATTATACAGTGACCCACTTGTAACCTACTGAACAGCAGAGCACCTTTTTTTTATTACGTTTTTTTTTTTTTTTTTGTCTGTTTTAGTGTATATAGGTACCTACTATACTTAATTTCCAATTTTGTTTGTTTGTTTACAGGTACTTGTATTGTTGATTAGTGGAACTATAACATTGGTACAAATGAAAGGTCACCCAATGATATTGAAACTAAACAATGACACATATTCTTTTTTTCAAAAATTGTGAAACAGAGAATAAAATCAAGTGAATATTATATCAGTTTATCTCCGTAGTACCTATCTAGATTATAAAATATTGAAATATAATTATTTGCAAAATTATTCAATATTATAATATTATTCATCGTATACCATAATTTGAAGGGGGGAGAAATATTAAATACATTGAAACTGAGAACCATAAAGTATTGTCAGCTTATAAATTAAATATGAATTATCACTAAATATGTTAGGTTGAACTAAATAAGTTGATTAATATGTTTATTAATCATATCAATTCCGACATTTTATTATATTATCAATGAAATTAAATTAGCAATACCAATAATTAAGTTGCTAATAGTCGAGACAATATGGACCTATAATAATAATTAATATCTACGTTATATTAGACGAAACAAAACAATTATTTCCATATCCACAAGCAGTAGGATGTTTATTGTTTTTACTTCAAGTTACGACACCATGTCTGCAGATATTGCAGAATATTCAGTTAATTATGCAAGTCATTTCTCCATGTTAATCTTTTAGAGACTCAAAAGAATATAGCTTAACGAATTAAACGTAACATAAAGACAACAATTAACTATGGTTTATACTTTCCTAAAATTATAATACAAATATTTTTAATTTATAGTGACATTGAGTGTGCTGTGTATGCAAATATTTACGTAGATCACCATCGGGGTATTTATTCATACAAGGTGGAAAAGATAACAATTAACAGACATACATACTGACAAAGCGACTTCTAAAATATCGTTCTAAGGAGCTTAGATAAGCAATGGTGCTAGACAAATTAAATATTATTTTAAATACATTATTAATCAAGAAGTTGTATTGAAAATGTAATGAATAATACATCGTATAGAATAGAATAACGCTATAATTATTGTAAACTTACATACATTAGTAGAATATACCTATAGTTTTAAGTTTTACTTTAATTGCCAAAATTATACTTATCTTCGTATATGACTAGTTACTGTTTTTTTTTTAAGGTAACCAAATGTATTCTTAACACGTTGGCTGCCGCATGGCCGCCGGCGCCCCAAGTAATTTCTGAGCGTGGTGGGCCATACTATTTTCACATAATTTATCGTAAATGTTTACGTTTGTAAAAATAGCTCTAATTTTCCGATTTTGATAAAATGTATACAGTTTTAATCAGTTAACCTTGTATAATAATATAAAATGAAGAAATGTCTTGGGTCGCCGGCTGGCAAGTGGCCTACAAATGATTTGACTTTATATAATGGGCCACTGTTGGTCGCCGGCGGTCTTGTTCTAAACATAAACTTAGCTGGTAATTTTTTTTTGCTTATCATAATTTACACTATTATAGTGTTTCTGTGGCGATAAATCGATTATTCAATGTCAGTCGTCTTTAGTTCTCGTTTTCGTTGTGACCGTTGTTGATAGTGTTAAATTTCTTTTGTGTTTTATTTTTCAAATAAAATTAAACTTTTTACAAAATGGATGAAGATATGATAATAGATTCATTAAATGAATCATACGACTCTTTTAGTGAAAGTATTGACGATAGTGATACTGATGTGTTATTTCAAATTGAAAATGAAAGTAATAGTGACTTTGATGATTCTACTGAAGACGAGGACGAGGAGGATCATTCAATTTCTGTACATAATAATGTTCAACCACTTCAACCCGCCTGGAATATAGTTTCAGGTAATAATCAAAAACATTTCAACTTTATTGGAAACTCTGGACCCTTAGTTATATTAGACGAAGGTAGTGGGCCTATAGATTTTTTCAAATTATTTCTTACCGATGAAATAATTCAACTACTGTACTACTGTAAATGTAGATATTTTTCACTTTAATGTTATTATTTTTATTTTAGCAAACGATAATCCTCCTTCACAGTATGTATTATTCCCAAATTGGATTGAATCCCCTGCACTGTTAAAATGCTGATTTGGTAAGTCATTAATGCACTTTCCTTGATTCTTTCAGCTGTTAATTTAAAATAGTTGACTAATTTAGAAATATATGCTGAACTATCGAGTGTAGGGTCTTTTTCAAAACTAAAAAAAACATTTGTTGTAGAAAATATATATTTACTTCAAATTATTGTTTTTATACACTTATTAGTATTTTATAGTAAATAATTATGTTATTTATTTTAAATTTTGTTGATCCACTTTTCTGTATAGTTTGGAAAGTCTTATTTGTAGCATTATAATTTAATGTATGGTATGTTGAACACTAAATTATTTTGTTATTTTGGCTTTTAATTCATAAATAACCAGTGTTAGATTGGAGCGGTTGACACAAAAATAAATAAGTATAATACTCGGGTGACGGGTACACGGAAAGACGGTACATACAGTTTGTTATACAATTACAAAAGTTTTTATTTTTTATAAGTTCTGTAGATGCATTATTGATTTACCCGCAGTATCCATGATATAATAAGCTAGGTATGATACACACGCGATACGCATCCTCCTCACCCGGGGACCTTTACTCTGACAAAAAATGGAGCTGGTCTTTAGCTGTTTTTCAATTTCTCATTACTATAATACAGTAAGTTTCCGTTACAACGAATACCGATACAACGAAAAATCCCGTTATAACGAAAGTCATAAAGTCCCCTACAGAAAAGCTATCGTCGAAACCAGTAAAAGACCGTCGCCATCTTTGAGGAATATAATACAAAAATTGGTTTAATGCTATCATACATAGTTCATTATGTATAATAAACTCGCATGAAGAAAGGTAACTACATGGTTTAGGGCTGGAGCTCAATTTCTAGTCCATAATGATGGTGGTGTTCCCGGTAGATTCTCATATCGCCTAGCGTCTTCGCAGTCAAAAACTAATTCCCTGTAGGGATTAATATATATAGCCAAGGAGTAAGGACTGTCATCATACAGTCTTTTCGGCAATCGTCAATTGAACTATTTATAATAATCTGAAATCTTCTATGAATAACTTTGTACAAGAGTTTCGTTCATTTAAAAATAAATGTATCAAAAGCAACAATGTAACCTCAAATAATAATGTGTATACTTTAAATTTATATTACCAACATGTTAGAGGCCTTAGATAAAAATTATTCAATTTACATTCAAACTTTATTTTATTATCCTATGATATTTTCTTACTTATGGAGACATGGCTCTCTGATGATATAATCAGCTCCGAGCTTAATATTTCCGGTTACACTATTTTTAGGTATTTATTTATTTATTTATTTTAAACATATATTCTAGTAGGTATTTTCTCTGATAGGTGATAGAGTTCTTCTTGCTGTTAAGAATACTTGACATCCTCAACTTGTCCTTATTGGTCTAAAAAACGTAGAACAATAATTTGTTCGTATTTCAGTAAGCAACGGTAAGTTACGAGGTGGGTAACCCTGGCGGCTGGCACCCCATTGTTCGAATTTTTTATTTTTTTTTTAACCATTAATTGTACTATAATTTGTACCGATTAGTACCACCATTTTCAGAATTTGTACCTAAATACTTCCCATAGAAAAAATCAATTTTCCAGATGGGGTGTCAGGGTAACGTTACCCCAGCACCACCATAACTGAATAATGCATTTTATAAACATTTTTTTACTCCATTAATCGTACTATAGTTTGTACCGTATTTTAAAACCATTTTCAGAATTTGTACCCAATTATTTACCTCGGAAAAATCAATTTTTCCGCGGATATGTCTGAATACGTTGATAAAGTATAACTAAATAACGCATTTTATAAACATTTTACGTACCTATATAATATATAAGAGTTCATGGCGTTCATTTGCTAGGTAGTATTATATGGTAAAAATAATTAACTATATAGTATAATATACATATAATTCTTACATATTTTACAGGCTAATGACTAATGGTAATTTATTATTATATGTTTATATATTTATTTATAATATATTATACCTAGGTACTTTTAAACCAATACAATAAACTTATGGTGTGTCTATAAAAGCTAGGTATCCTAACTAAATTCTATAAACTATTAAACATATATTATATGAATATATAACATACTATATAACATATATTATAATATTATATATATACTATTTACCTTCACACTATAGCAGGTAGGTACGTTTAGATCGACACTTGCTTTAATGTTAATATGGCATTGTTATAGGTAGGTATGTGAAAAGTTAAAACATATTATATTCTAAATATTTCTAAAAAAAATACACTGTGTTCAGTGTTGGTTAGTGTCCCTCCATCAATTTATCAATATTATATACCTACTATTGGTGTACCTATGTAGGCAGCTATAGGTATTGAACTAAATTTACTAATTAACTTCCGTAATCATATACGTATATAATCCACATACTCGTATATAATATGCTTATATTATGATATTATATATTACAAAATTAGGTATTTAGTATTCTAGAATAAAAATACAAATAAAAAGTACTTTTAAGTATTTAAAATACATTGGTCAAAAAGTATTTGAATACTGAACAAGACTGGACAGTAGGTACACAAAGCACTACATCCATACACACATGCATATACACAAGTCATAACACAGTAACGCCCAATAAATATGCAATTATAATATTACTAATAATTTAAATAATAATAATAATATAATTTATAAGACATTAAATAAGTGGTAGTATATATATACCTATACTAAGTCATAATATAATAATAATAATTAATTTATAATAAACATATACATTTACCTACAATCTACACGTCATTGCATGTTTTTGTTCTTAAATAAGTAATTTGAAAAATTATAAATCAAAACTACATTATACCTACTGTGTGCATTGTATATTTATTATATACAATTTCTAATTTCTATAGTTAAAGTATTGGTCAATAATCTATATGAATGCAAATAGTGCAATATTGCAATATGATTGCATTGGCCTCTCTACTGAACAAAAAACTAATATAAAACTCAAAAAGAGTAAAAGTATCTTCATCAAGTATTATGTAAGCTAGGTAGGTCATAGGCCAGGGGTCGCCAACCTTTTCAAACGAATGAGCTACATTTGAAATTTTTAGTCCCAAGTGCCAGGAGAATTTAGGTCTTTAGGAAGAGATTTGTTTTATGAGCAAAAAAAAAAATAAGGTCATTTTATTTGTTGTAAACTCCAAATAAATGTGTAACGTAATAACGAAAATATACGAAACATATAGGTACGCTTGCACACTTCCAGGTGACGAAAAATTGACAGTCGAGTTATAACTGACAATAATTCTGACTACCTATTTATTGTAGTCAATGGCCCTTAGTCGCCGAGGCTTTTGTTTTCAAATGAAAAAAAAAAATTGGGTAAGTGGATGTCGCTCTGCTGTACAGTAGGTTACAAGTGGGTCACTGTATAATGGATGCTATTAAATTGGAATTCAATGATACAATATCATTGTATAAGAAAACGATTCTGAGCGAAGACGGTATGTCAGTCTAGGTTTAAGACATAATATATACATATCTATGGTATTAAAAAAAATTGACCTATAATAAATTCCAAATTAATCATATCACAATATCCATTAGGTACTTATAACACGTTATACATCAATAACAACCCTGATACTATCATAGATATATAATATAGTGTACTTTAGAAGTTTCAAGTACCCACGAATACTGAATAGTATTATACACTCACAACAAAATAACTAAAATAGGTATGCTAGGTTTTTAATATGTAATTTCGTCCCAAATTTGAACTTAAAATGTCTGTAAAAAATAACTGTGTTCATATATTTATTAGATTTTTTGGTTACAGTATGAACTATTTACGAGAACCTTTGTGTTGAATTTGCAATCCTTAGCTATAAAAACTGAACATTTATAATTTATTAATTACAATGATTGATAATTTTCGAGATTTGATAAATTTTGTCAAAGTTCGATGTTTAAATGCTTATAAAAAAAAATCGTGCCTATGTATTTTTAATATTTTTCAATTGCTATTGTAACAATATATCAGGAGCCTTGTATTAATTTTTTACACTTTTTGGCTCAACAGATAAAACTTAATTGATATTTATAGAAAAAAAAAAACTAAAAAAATTTAAAACTAAAAATGTCCGCAAACGGCTCAAAAAGACTCAAAATATTTTCAAAATTGTATAGTGTATAGGAAATGCTAATATAAACATTCAGTGAAATTTTCATGTATCTACACTAATTCGTTTTTGAATTACAACAAAATAAGGAAATCGCCACATCCAATGTTGTAAAAATTTGAATTTCAAACGCTCATAAAATTTAATTTGACTTTCTTATAGAATTTTTTTTTTTTTGATAAATGTAGGAAATCTTATAAGGAATCTTGTATTATATTTTCATATCTTAGATTTAAAAAGAAAAATGTTTATGAATTTCTAACTCGAAATAATTTGCAAATTTTCGTGATTTTTCCATATTTTGTCATTTTTTGAACTTTAAATGCTTAAAAAAAAAAACTGTGACTAACGATTTTAATATTTTTCATCTGTCTTTGAAACAATATAGTAGGAGATTTGTATTAAATTTTCAAGTATTTTTACTCAACAAATAAATTTTTATTGATATTCATAAAAAAAAACTAATAAAATTGGAAACTGGAAATGTCCGTAAACAGCTCAAAAAGAGTCAAAATATTTTCAAAATTGTATGGTGTATAGAAAATGCTAATATAAACATTCAGTCAAAATTTCATGTTCCTACGGTCATTTGTTTTAAAGTTACACCAAAAACCAAAATCGATTTTCTCGAAA